TGATAGAGTAGATTACAGCCGTTCCCCGAGTTGCAAACGGTCGAGTTACAGTTGTAAATGTGGTCCCCGAGTTATGAACGTGATCCACGCTTACGAGCAGTGCAGTTGCCATGTAACTCAATGGGATCCTAGTTACGAACACTTTGAGTTACGGCCAAGTGTTTGATTCATAACTTGTTCGTAACTTGGGGAGAGGCTGTATTTATATTTATATTTGATAGATAGCAATAAAATGGTTAATATATGTATTGTTACAAAATACATTGATGTTCAAGACTTCAGTTCTCCAATTCATTTAACCCTTTTGCCTGTGAAGTGTCCCACTGAAGATTTTTGTGGTGCCAAGGGACTGCCACTGTGCAATGCATTGCAGCATCATGATGAGTGTCTAAGGGATGTCATTACATGCACAGCTTGCAAGTTCACTATATAATGTAGCCACTAGCATAGTTTTTGTAGTGGCTGATTTTGCAGCATATGCCTGTCCTCTGGTGTTTTACAATGGGCCTCTTGACTAAGAAATGGAGATTTCATTTAGTATAGATTTTAGTATAAGTTTTTCTGCTTGTCTTTTAAAATATTTGTGCAAATTTTGAGGCTCAGATTTAAGCCTGAGTGGATAGTGTACCTTGTGGGTATATAACATTGGGTGGTCTAGATTCCATTGCCTTTCCCCAGTGCTTTAAAAAAAAACAAAAAACAAAAACAAAAGAAAAAGAAAAACCACTCCCACAGCAGTTTTGGAGACCCAGAGTTCAGTCTGTAAGGAATTTCAACGAGGATTGCCCAGTGTCAGCCTCCCTACATTCAAGTTCAAAAAGGAACTGAAGAAATGCAATTAATTAAGTAACTTTATAAAATATTATGAAGAAACAAATAATCTAATTCTAGAAATATAACACAGCTATTTTATATCCCACAGATAATGTCCATAGTTACAGTAAACATAAGAGAAAACTAAAATAATATTTGAACAGTTCCGTCCACACAAACACAATAAGAAAAGACTGAGGGTATGACTACAGAGCAAAGTTATTTCAAAATAACAGCCGTTATTTCAAAATAACTTTATCAGCGCCTACACAGCCAAACCACTATTTCGCAATTAAATCGAAATAGTGGAGGGCTTATTTCAAAATTGGTAAACCTCATTCCATGAGGAATAATGCCAAATTCGAAATAACTATTTCGAAATAAGCGCTGTGTAGATGCTTATATCGAAATAGGGAGCCTCCAGCCTTCCCAGGGTGTCCTGTTGGCCACTCCAGCATCAACCAAGAACATTCCTCTCCCTCCCCCTTCCCCAGAGCCCTTAAAGGGGTTCACTCTGGCCACAGTGCCTGTGCCAGCTCCAAGCCTGCCAGGAGCCAGCAAACCAATGGCAGCCAGCCCTCCACCGCTCCCCAGGAGCAGTCTGCCAGCTCCCAGGAGCCAGCCAGGGCCCAGAGAAGGTGGGCACCCTCCTGGTACAGGGTGGAGATCATGGACCTTATTTAGGTTTGAGGGGAATGTCCCCAACGTCCATGATCTCTGCACTAAATGGAGGAATGCGGCCATCCATGGCAGGATAGCTGCCAGCCTGGCTACCAAAGGCCACATGTGAACCCAGGAGCAGGTTTGCTTGAAAATCAAGGTGGTCCAGTGAGACCTCCAACCGTGAGCCCTGAGCTTTCCCTCCCCTTTTTTCCCCTTGCTTTCCCCCTCCAGCTCCCGCCTCCCAAGTTTCCTCCTCCCGTCTCCTACCCTCTCTTCTCCCCTCTCCTGCCTCCTTTCCCCAGTCTCACTAGAGTTTCATTCCTCCCCCCTCCCAGTTTTGTTAAATAAAGAGAGTTTGTGTTTATAAAAATATGTGTATTTTATTTGACATCAGAAAGGGGGGTTAGGGAGGGGTAAGTGGTAGGACGTGAGGAAGGAATGAGGCACAAGCCCCCAGTGGGGCAGACCAGGGAATCTCTTAGTGCTCCTCAGGGTAGAAGCTCTCCTGCAGGGCCTCCTGGATACTGACAGCCCCCCCGATGGACCTCCCGGATGGCAGCCTGCAGAAAGTGCAGCCAGGCTCGCAGCAACACATCCATGAGAAGCACCAGTGTGCCCAGGGGCAGCTCTGGCTCCATGTTGCAGAGTGCTGTGATGTCCCGAGTGAGGTCAACCAGAGCACGCAGAGACGAAATGCCTTGCTGTCCCTCATCAAGGTAGGCAAGCAAGCAGGGAAACCTGAGAACCAGCTGTCTTGGAGGGTGGGCCTTTAAGCACAGGCCTCAGATAGCCTCAGGCAGCAGCCACACAAAGTAACTCCTGACCTGATGCCCTGCCAGATCTGGTTCCAGCCAGCCTTAAATGCGATTCAGCATCCACTCAGTGTGGATGCATTATTTTGAAATAGCAAAATGCTATTTCGAAATTCATTTTGTGTCTAGACGCATTCATTCAAAATAAGCTATTTTGAAATAACTATTTTGAAATAAGATATTTAAAAATAACGCTGTAGTATAGACGTACCACAACTGCTTTATGACAGAAGTAACAATCATCACCCTCACTTTATATAGAGAGAAACTGAGGCACAGAGAAGTGACTTGACTTGGATGAAGTCATCTAGCTCATCAATAGCAGATCTGGGAAGAGCATGTGGGTCTAATGAATCTCAGGTCAGTGGAGCTACCACTAGGCCATGCATATGCCATTCAAAATTGTTTTTTAATTTTTAGTGTCTGGAGGAGAGAGATGGTGTCATTTGTAAGAACAGTGTCATTCTGGGGGAGGGAATGATAGCTGCACTGTGCTGAAACATTTGCAACCATAAGGCTTTTGTAATGAAATCTTATGTTTGTGATTATAAAAGGGTGTTCACTTTGACCATAAACAATAGAGCAATGGAGCAGTGTGTCCCCCTGAAAGCTTTTCTTATAGAAAAAGAATACTTCCCCCGAAAATAAGGAGAATAAGAGAATAAGGAGAAGTTATTTACTTGTTCCCATAATATAAGAACCAGGTGACACCAAATGAAGCTAATGGGCAGAAGGTGTAAAACAAATAAAACAAGTTCTTCTTCACACAGCGCATAGTCAATCTGTAGAACTCCTTGCCTGAGGAGGTTGTGAAGGCTAGGACTATAACAGGGTTTAAAAGAGAACTAGATACATTCATGGAGGTTAAGTCCATAAATAGCTATTAGCCAGTATGGGTAAGGAATAATTAGCCTCTGTTTGTCAGAGGGTGGAGATGGATGGAAGGAGAGAGATCGCTTGATCATTACCTATTAGATTCACTCCCTCTGGGACACCTGGCATTGGCCACTGTTGGCAGACAGGGTACTGGTCTGGATGGACATTTGGTCTGACTCAGTATGGCCATACTTATGTTCTTATGTTCTAAAACTGGAAGAGGAGGATGCTTAAAGAGCAGTACTGATATTTTTAATGTTGATGCTTCTAGGGCATAATCCATTGTACACTGAAATCAATTGACTCTGGACCAGTTTTCTACCTTTGATGTACAAATTAAAATATTTGCAGAATTCTGAATGGTAACTCTGGTCAAAATATGCACTCACTGCAAAATGGAACCTATTTAACTACATGTCTGGACTGATCTAAATATGATATTTGAACAGAATATAGAAGGAGGAATGCAAATGTAGACATCCGAAATTGCAAATGAAGCAGGGATTTAAATATCCCGCACTTCATTTGTTATTTCGGGACATCAAACTCAGTCCCTGCGGGGTTATTTCAAGAGAAAATCCTTCCCTCGAAATAACCCTTACTCCTCAAAAAATGAGGTTTAAGAGTTATTTTGAGGGAAGGGTTTTCTCTTGAAATAACCCCACGGGGACCGAGTTTGAAGTCCCGAAATAGCGCTATTGGAGAAAAGCGGCAGTCTGTGATTATGCAATTGAAGCACAGGATATTTAAATCCCCACTTCATTTGCAATTTCAATTCTCTACATTTGCATCCCTCCCTCGAAAGAGGGTGCAAGTGTGGACATATTCATATATATCTGATAAATTGGTGTCATTCTATCTATTTCAATAACAGCGTGCTAGTTTATTCCAACCGAAAATTTAGCTGTATATTTTAGATTAAGAAATTGTATTGCTATATATTTTGATATATTAAAAATGAGTCAGTCACTTCTCAAATAAATAAAAAATCACAGTAGCATTTATAATGAGGTAGGCCACCGTACTCTGTTCATTTCTGCTGAATATAAAGCTTTGTAAATAAAAATGTTTGTTCCTTTCTTTTAAAATGTTAATAACTAATGACTAGGAAGTATTCTGTTGTTGCTGCTGTTTTTAGCGCTTAGATCACTATAATTTCCATTCATGAATGGAATGCAAAATTTATAGCTTGTATTTATAGAGTTAACAGCAGCTGACTGTCTTATATATTTTTCTAAGCTTCTGAGGTCTTGAGTCATCAAAATCACCCAGGGAGAGATTTGCTGTAAATCAGAGCAGGCTCTCTTTGTACTTGTTCTTTCCCTGTAACCATATTGTGTAAGTCTTGTTTAAATGTGCTGCTGGTGATCATTTCAGTATTGGTGTATTTAGTTGCCTTTATATTTTCAGCTGTCTTGATAAAATAAAAGTTCCCCCATGCACAGTAAACTTGTATTTTTGGCACTCTGAAGTGAAGTATAGTGCTTAAACCCACCCCAGTCTCCTTGAAGGATATTTCATGTTATTTTGTGACTTGTGCCCAGGGATGGCCAGCCCTAGCCAATGTATTAGGGCTATAAATTTTTAAAAAAGCTCTTGGACAAATTCTGATCTTATTTACACCAGTGTAAATCTCAGCTAATACTTTTGGCTTCAGTGAAATTACTCCAGATTCAAATTAGTGTGAAGGAGACCAGACTTTGGTCCTCTGTCTTTACCTCTTTTCTTACCCTAAATATGTTACAGTTGTAGTTAAGGCTTAAAGTGATTTTGCATGGGTTACATGTAAGACAGGAAAGTTCAGTATCAATTTACAGCAGTGACATGTTTTCTTACCCTTGTATCTGGCAGAGCTGATTGGAAGAGCTTGGAGAGGAAATTCAATCATATCTGTATGAAAAGATTAGAGACAAATGCAACATTTTTGAGAATCTACATTCTGTCTTGTAATCTGAATTTTTCTTTCACATTTGATTTTGAAAGAAGAAGGAAATGAGAACATTTGCCTAGTTTATATTTAGCCTTCGGAAAAGAGTCAGGGAAGTGTGGCTATGAGGACAATAAAGTATTTAATTATTTGTGTTTGTGGATTCAGTATCGGTGATGTTAATGCTATCTTGAACCAGGCATGTTACTAGCAAATACTGTTAAGCTCTCACACATATACAGTTATGTCAGTGTACTGTAAATTTGACCTGAAACATCCTGGATGCTTTCACTCTTGTGCCTCTCTCACACAGGCTATGTCTAGACTGCAGGCTTCTTTCGAAAGAGGCTCTTTCGAAAGCATCTTTCGAAAGAGCCTCTTTCGAAAGAGAGCGTCTAGACTGCACGGAGAAATTTCGAAAAAGCGGCTTGCTTTTTCGAAAGAAAGCATCCAGTGAGTCTGGATGCTCTCTTTCGAAGACGCCCTGTTTACATTGAAGAACGCCTTCTTTCGAAAGAGGAACTTTCGAAAGAAGGCGTTCTTCCTCGTAAATTGAGGTTTATCGCCATCGAAAGAAAAGCCGCGTTCTTTCGAATTAATTTTGAAAGAACGCGGCTTGAGTCTGGACGCAGGGGAAGTATTTTCGAAAAAAGTAGCCTTTTTTCGAAAAAAACCCTGTGTCTGGACACAGCCACAGAGATTATGAACTGTGACAATACGGACTAGCATGAAATTAGCAAGATCCGGCTTACTAAAGTTTAATTGACATAGTAACATTGGTCAGGGATTTGAAAAAGCACACCCTGACTTACATATGCCAACCCAACCCTCAATATAAATGCAGTGTCTGTCAATGTAGCTACCATAATTCAGGGAGAGGGTGTTTCCAGTGTGACAAATATTTCAGCTCCATTTAGTATTTGGGGGACTACTGTATTAAAATCATGAAGGTTTTATGTATGATTGTGTTCTACTCCAAGGGGGGAAGGTTACCACAGATCCTCCAGAAACTAAATGTGATAGGTAGTGATGATTATTAAGGTGAATCACCAAGGCTGAACAACCCTAAAGAGGTGCCACCTTTTGGATAAGTTTGAATATAGGGGTTCAGCTCAAGTCATTCTCAGCCTTTCTATTTAGTCAGAAATCAGAATTATTGACATCTTGCACTGTTTGTGCCCTGAGAGACAGTCAGTGAAGTCTAGTATACGGTTAAAAGGAAAATCCCAGGGCAGCATAAGATTTAAACGAGGAATCAGGAAAGCCCATCAGAAAGCTATCAAGCCTACCTCAAGAGGTTGAGAGCTATATATGTACTCCCTATGAAGTTTCTTACCCTATGCCCTAAAAAATTTCTGTTGCCAGTTCCAAAGAGTGATAGGGTATGTCTACACTACCCCGCTAGTTCGAACTAGCGGGGGTAATGTAGTCATCCGCAATTGCAAATGAAGCCCGGGATTTGAATTTCCCGGGCTTCATTTGCATGAAGCTGGCCGGCGCCATTTTTAAATGCCGGCTAGTTCGAACCCCGTGCCGCGCGGCTACACGCGGCACGGAGTAGCTAGTTCGGATTAGGCTTCTAATCCGAACTAGCTGTACTCCTCGTGGAATGAGGAGTACAGCTAGTTCAGATTAGGAAGCCTAATCCGAACTAGCTACTCCGTGCCGCGTGTAGCCGCGCGGCACGGGGTTCGAACTAGCCGGCATTTAAAAATGGCGCCGGCCGGCTTCATGCAAATGAAGCCCGGGAAATTCAAATCCCGGGCTTCATTTGAAATTGCGGATGACTACATTACCCCCGCTAGTTCGAACTAGTGGGGTAGTGTAGACATAACCATAGAGAGGTACCAGCAAACTGGGATAACACAATCAAGGCTTCTTGTGGCAGGCATCAGAATGTAAGCCACACACTGTGAGAGGCACATGAGAGAAATGTTCATAGATTTCAGATAATCTCCAGAAGCTCCATCTGATTTGCACAAAGTTCAATGGGAGTTTCTGCATCGACTTCAGTGGATGTTGGGTCAGGATACAGGTTAGCACCTTAAATTCTTATGCTTATAAAACCAAATCCGATTTCTGAAGCTTTTAAGGTTTGCATGTTTCATACAGCATGGCAGCATGAACAGACAAAAAATATTATTTCTCAGCGACAGTGAAATACAGGTGCAGCTTTATTACCGTAATTAAAAATAGTGTAGTACTCCGTGGCTCTGGGAACATTGATTGTCAGGTATTACAAGATGATAACTGGCTCATCTACTCAAGTCAGTGGGATTTTCAAAAGTATCTAAGGCGATTAGTCATAGATCCATAGTGTTTAATGCCAGAAGGAAGCATTATGATTGTTTAGTCCGTCCACCTGTATAACATGGACCACTGAATATCACCCAGTAATTCCCGCATCACGTCCATATTTTTTGATTGTGCCCCAGCATTTTCCTGAAAAAAGATACCCTGTCTTGATTTAAAGACTTTGGTAAACAGAAAATCCACTAAATCCTGAGGTAAATTATGAAGAAACATACTTGTTTAGGGTTTGGAGTTCATCTAGCTTAACCATATAAATAAACATTTGGTTTTAATTTGTATTATTTTCTCTCAGAGCTTAATGATTGGCTTAGTTTATAAGTAGAACAGTAAATAATATTAGAAATCTGCAGTTTTTAAACTGTTTGTTGTCATTATGTCACTAAACCATCCTCGCATGTTTGTAATTGTGGTGGCCTACAAGATACTTGCTCTGTGGAATACACAAATTCTAGTTGTCCCAGACAAGTTCCCCATACTGGACATTCATCAGGCTTCTGCTTTTGGATTCTGTATGCTTCTAAGTGCACTGAGCCTGAGCAGCATCCAGGCACTAGCTCTGATTCTGCCCTTTCTGGCTCATTTCTTCTTCCATCTGGTACCTCGTCTCAGAAATGAGTACACATAATTCAACTCTGTGAGGATGAAGACCACTACTAAACCCCCGAAATCTTGCCAGTAGTTTGAGCACATATTGTCTTAGTGAGTCCTCTGTTTATAGTGTAACTCTTCAGGGACACATGATAATTATAGTAAGCAACCCAGAGACTCCATTCAGAATGAAAGTCAAGTGACTTACAAAATCCTGCATGCAAAAATCCTCCCTCCAGTGTCTCTCAGAGAGCCTGTTGAGGTTTTGTTTTGTTTTGGCTAGTCCTTTCAATTTCCTCAAGCTCTCTTTGCTTAGACTTCAGGTTTTCTCTCCATAGCACTACAACAAGCTGTCATTAACTTCTTTGGGTCTTGTGGTCAAATAGTTCCTCCATAATAAAATAAAGCATGTACCTTTGTGTTCCCTGGATATTTCAAGGTGTTAATACACCTTGCTCCTTCTTCCTTCTTTGCTGCTGGGGAATTTCCACTGCTTCAATTCCTCCCCACTCCGCCCCCCACAGACATCCTAGAATAACCAATTTCCTTCATCTTGGCCAGTCTCTTTCCAATATCCATTATATTGCCAGGGAAAAGTCATTCCATATTAACAATTTATTTGATTGGCTTGTAGCTGCTTCCGGAGTGTGACATCTGGATCCTGTCAACAAATGGCTGATTCAACACACACACAATTAGAGTAATACATAGTGCTCACAGAATCCAACAGAATTCATAAATTGTGCAGAGTGTTGTTGTAGCATGTTGGCTCCAAGGTATTAGAAAAATAAAATAGGTGATGTAATAGCTTTTATTTGCGAACTGCAGAGCTACCCAGAGCTCTTCCTTAAGCTTCTTTATCCAGCGATGAAGAAGTTGATCAAATAAAAAATATTACCTCACATAGCTTGTGCCTCTAGATTATACATAAACAGAATCCCCAAACCATCACATGGCGAAATAATAGCTGAAATGAGTGCGTATTAGAAGGAAAAGGAGGAATAAATAATCATAGTAGCGGGGATGATTGTGAGATATTGGAACTAAGAATTAATATATGGGAGCTCAATTGCTTGTGCAGATTTAGAACACTCTGGGGTCATGGTGGTGTTTGCCACTCTGCAGATGAAAAAGAAAATGTATAACTGGCGTATCACCTTTGCTACTGAAAAGTTCAGCAATCTGGATTAATAATGAACATTAAGGGCACCATTCTGCTGTCAATATATGTGCAGAATTCTCATTACATTTCAAGGTAGGTATGAGTATACATCAGAGGTAGAATAGACTACTCATTGTGGTCAAAATTGCTCTAGCTGCAGGCTAAACACGAAGGAGCAATGTATGTGTGTCAGCCGATGGTCAGGGCAGTGTGTGTGTGCTATACACCCGAGACTTCAACTGTCCCTCGCAGCGGGCAACCTGGAGGAGGTTGATGAGCGCCCCAATAAGTGTACAGGAAGAGCTTATTACACTTCAGATTTCAGCTGCTAGAATTCGTAATTCCTTTGCAGCGGGCAACCTCGGGGAGGCTGAGAAGTGCCCCAATGGATTTTGCCACCTGGGTGTGACACAAATCCAAACGCCCAAGCTCTTCCTATACTGTCCCTAATGACCGGCTGAAGTTCTTTTAAATTGTGCTTGGTTCTGTTACAGCAACTGAAGGAGTCAGGTTAAAACTTAAACAGTTACAGGTTTATTGAAGAAGCTTATAAATCATATGGTTGCAATGGCTATTGCTCTATTTCTTAACTACTAGCAAAATATAGATCTTAAAAATGGTTACAAAGAAGATAAAGATAGAAAAATAGAAATAATGGTACCAAGTAACAGCTTACTCTTTCTATGTGTACACTTAAGACAGAGGACCACATCCAGGTACAATTTTTACCCCCTTCTGTGCCTCTCGACTCCAGCATGTCAGGCCAGGGCCGGTCCCTCAATTCCTAGGAAAGACAAAAATACGAGGTGGGCGTCCCCATAGAACCTCGGGAGGTCAAACACCTAACCCGACCAGCAGGTAGAGGGTAGAATGACACTCAAAGTGAGTGTGTGCTGGGCCCATCTTTTATAATCATGAGGTCACGTATTTCTCTTTCTTATCTTAATTGCCAATTGATGCTGGTCTGTCTGCTGTGAGACCAGTTCTTACAAGGGAGTTGTGAACTTAATTTACACTTGTAAGAGAGATAACTAAATTGGAACAGGGACTGTGTGTGTTCGAATCAACATGGGTGCCAGCCGGGCAGTTCTCGCAGCCTCGAGGCCAGCCTATTGCCTTAATCGCTCTCTCTCTCCTCATAGCTATGTTTTCAGCTTCTCAGGATCAGATGAGCCAGCATAGACTATGCTGATTTTACTGCTCCTTCTCTGCCCTGTATGCTTCAGGAACCTCAGAGAGGCAAATAAGATGGATGAGATGGGGGGTTGGTCTGTCTGGCTACAATGTGCTAAAGTAACTGACTTCCATGTGACATGCCCCATATCACACAGCTCACAAATGTTTTCCAGCACTGCTAACAGAGTTCCAGTTGCTCTCCCTCTCTGATATGTGTGATAGAGCATTCATGGCAAAGGTGAAAAAAGAGAAGATATGTATTAGGGTAATTCCCTCGACATGTTTGAGAGATGTTGTATTAGTGGGAAAATTGGGCCTCTATCTTTGTCATGCTTTGGACTTCCACTATTGCCTTTCATCGATGGATTTCACAAAGGTCACTGTAATTAAGCCTCATAATGCTCCTCAGGTGCGTGGGAAGCTGAAATGGAGGAAAATGGGTCTATGGAACCATGAAAGAGTTGCAGAGAGCGTGGAGGTTTGGGTACCATGTGGGGGAAATGAGAAGCACTGACAATGCATAGCATAACAGTCCACACCTGGAGCATTCTTTCCTGCCAGACCCTTAATTCGGGCTCAAGGAAGGGGAGGAGGCAGAGAGAAGCATTCCCACAACATAACCATCCAGTTTGTGGTGCGTTATAGACGACTCCCTTTCTTGCAAACCACAGATGGCTTCCAGGATAGAAAGGAGATGGACGCACAAGTACTTCTTTCATGTCTTCTCCTCCTCAACACCCAAGGTTCTCCTGTCCCAAGCACTGCCCCTGGTCACTAATGTCTGAGTGAGGACTTACGAGGATATGGAAAGAACTTGGAGGGAGAGTGCTACTTTGAAGAGAGAAGGACCTGGGGAAAGTGGCTATCCTGCGGAGGAGAACACGGGGAGGTCTCTTAAAGCAGAGAAGTCCTGCTGGGGAAGAAGTGTTCCAGAATAGCTCAGGGCTGCCATAGGAGTAGGTAGAGATTAATGCTTTGCACCCTGCTTCACCTCAGTACATCTCTTGTATTCTGACAAACTAAAATCTGTTGAGAACCACAGGCTGGCGGTCTGCTGCAGAAATCCAGGGAGCTCTAATGCAGCTGTTCTCTCATAGAATCATAGAGTCCTAGGATTGGAAGAGACCTCAGGAGGTCATCTAGTCCAGCCCCCTGCTAAAAGCAGGACTGGTCTTGACTAAATTATCCCATCCAGGGCCTTCCAAGCAGGACCTTAAAAAAACCCTTTAGGGATGGATATTGCACCACCTCCCTAGGTAACCCATTCCAGTGCTTCATCATCCTCCTAGTGAAATAGTTTTTCCTAATTTCTGCTATAGTAAAATGCTGCTTCTCACCTCTCAGACTTAACCAGCTGTCAAAAGTTTTCTATCACCATAGCCTTGCTCATCCACAAAGTCCTAGTGATTATGGATTTTGATAATATAATGTCTGTGGTAGATACGAGTCATCAAATGCACTCATGCATCAAAAACATCACAAGGGAAAAGTTAATGTTGCAGACACATATTCATGTTGCTAATGCATATAATCTTACCAGAACATTAGCATTGGGGGGAAGAAAAAAACCCTGAATGCTTTACAAATTGCACTTTGGGGGGATGGAGGTGTTCAAATCCCCCTCCCCATCAATATCTGACCCAAGCCAGAGTAGCTAATGATACAACCAGTGGACCAAATTCAGTCTTGAATCCTAGTGTCATTCAAGGCACATTGCGCATACATTAAGAAGAACTACACTTTAACCAACAGGAATTCAATAAAAGTTCAAGTTTTTGTATAGTAGTTTACACTCGAATATACTGAGATGACAGGATAAATCCAGCAATGGTGGATGTATGTGCAATTCCATTTATTTCTATTTAGTTACAACTAAATACAACCTGGGCTCAGGTTGGGAGAAAGATAGAGAGAGACAGGATCAGGCCAGAGGGATACATAAGAGTAATGGAAGAAAAGCATAAAACAAAAAAAGCAGTCAGGTAGCACTTTAAAGACTAACAAGACAGTTGATTAGGTAATGAGCAGACCCACTTCTTCAGATCATATTCTGAAAGTGAATTGGCATGACTATTATATAACAGAGGGATACATTGAAAAAAGACAAACTGACAAATCAGCTACATAGAACAGAAGGTGGAGGTGGTGGGTGTGACAAGGAAGGAGGAAATTGCTTACTGTAAGAGTCAATTAAGTGGCTAATCTGGGATCACTGCAAATATCAAAAGGTGTGGAGGCTGTTTTAGTAATGTGTAAGATAATTATCATCTCGATTAAGGCTCATTCGCAACTGTCGAATTTTAGCATAAATAAAAGTTCTGAAGTCTCCCTCTGTAATCTGGTGTTAAATTTCTTTGTCGTAAGATGCATGTTGTCAGGTCGTTAAGGAAATGACCAATTAGATTGAAATGCTGTCTGACAGGTTTGTGTGTGTGGAGATTTCTGATGTCTCTATTCCCATGGCAAACTGGCTGGGACTAGTCTAGAACCAGCAAGAACTTGCCAGAATCAATCAGGACAATTAAGCACTTGGAGCTAATTAAATTGACTTGCAGAATCAGGTGAGCTAAGGCCTGGGGGCAATTAAAGAACCAGTTGAGACTGGTTATAAAAAGAGTTTCTCTATAGTTACTTAGGGTGCACGAGGAGCTGAGAGGAGGGAGGGAGCCAGAAAGAAACAAGCACCAGACGATACTAGGAGGACACGCCTGGAAGAAGGAAGGTGCTGGAGAAGGTGTGGGGACTCTTATAGGCAGCAGCTATTACAGGGCCCTGGGTTGGATCCCAGAGTAGAGGGTGGGGAATGGGTCTCCCAACATCCACTTCCTATTTCCATTCAGGGAAAAAAACTAATTGGGAAAAAGAAAGGGGTTTGCCCAGCCCTGCATTATTTAGGGATCCACCAAGACTGGAGTTTGGTTTCCCTTTAAAACGTATGCTGGCCAATGATGAGAGCAGCTCAACAAACAGCAAGCTGGTACCCTAGGTGTGGTGCCTAAATTGAGGGCTGCTGTGAGCCTCAGAGGCAAACAAATCCACCTGAAAGTGCAGGATCCACCAAGTTTGAGTAGGAGCTTTGTCACAATAGATAGATAGATAGATAGATAGATAGATAGATAGATAGATAGCTATGTCTTAATACAACACTT